CGCTCAGGTGTGCGGGGACGTGTGTGGGGCTGTCGCTGCGTTCCCAGGGCACACGGGGATCATCCGGCTCTGCGCTGGTTGTGCCAAACTCCTGCCCGCCGGCCTCACACCCAGCACAGCTGTGGGCTCGGAGCGGCACCGGAGGAAGGCACTGGATTGCAGACATGATAAATCCGTCTGCTGGGAATCCAGGGGCTGATTTCCCTGGGCTCTGCGCTGGCGATTTGCCCCGAGAGCCCCGCTCCCCTCCTAAGCCTCATCCCAGCTGAGTTTTGACAGCACCGGGATGATCGCTTTGAGGAAAGACCAGGGGATTTGGGGCTAAGCTCCCTTGCAATTTCCAACTTGCAGAGCTGTCCTGGTAAACTGGTGTTGTCAGCCTGTCCCCAGGAATCTGGACACTGGTTTGCAAGCAGTCTGTATTCCCTACAAGCAATTCCCTTTATCTGCCTGGGCAATGGGATTTCTCTGGGGTTTCACTGCATTTGAGGGCAGTGGGATTTAATCAAAGAGAAGGAAGGAAGAAGAAATCTTGAAAAGAGGGAAATTGTCTTTCTATATTTGGCAGGGAAAATATATCACGACTCCATTTTTCACATCTGCTATTTTTTGTGCAGCTTTCCCATATAAGAAATAGCTATCACAAGTGCAAGGAAAGCACCACATTAGGCCTAAATGCAGCCTGAGACATAATAGCGAAAGATTAACTTTTTTTTTTCTTATATTACCAGCCAGCAGCAATCCTGCCAGCCACCCAGAGAGCAGGATGGAATAAAACAGTATAAAATAAAATGGAAACAACTCTCCCTTACAATAAAAACACCAGGGCTCGGGTTGCTGGTGGGCACACAATACAGCTCAGGTGTGAGGGTACCAGGTAAGCACCCCGTATTGAGCCCTTTTCTGCCTGCCAAAAACTGTCCCATGCTCCTCCTCCAAGTGAAGAGACAGGGTTGCATAAGCACCATCCAAATCCCTGGGCATTTAAGAACCTTCATCTTCCAAAATTACTCAAGGATGCAAGAGGTGCTCAGCAGGATTTGGGAAAGCTGCGGGGCCTCTGTGCAGACTGCTCTGCCTCCTGGCAAACTTTTAAGCCCTTAGCTGCCTTAGGCTGGGAGGGATAAATGTCATCTCTGTTGGCAGAAAAAGCTCCCACTTCTGCTTCCGTCCGTCTCCTTCCAGTCCCCATCCACAGCAAGGCCTCAGCATCTTACTGCTGCTGGAGGCGCATCCTCTGCCTGGGGTCCCCAGGAGGAGGGGACACCCTGGCCGTGCCTGCCCGCCCCGCCTGACGGGTGCTGCTCCAGGCTGTATTTTCACCACGCCGTTTGGTGTTTGCAGTTGCCATGGCACCACCAGCGGCCTGGATGGAGGGGAAGGGAGCGCATCCGGCACCGCCGGAGCCGTCCCTCACGCTGGCTCGGGTACCGGGGCCGGGCAGGGACGGCGCCTGGCGGGCTCCGAGCGGGCTCTGCCCCCTGCGGAGATGCAGCCGAGAGCTCTGGGGCAAAGCGTTCCCGAAGGTGTCTGTGGGGGGAATTAACCAGAGGAATCAAGGGCAGACAGGGATACTCTGGAGCTCCTCAGGACTTCCCCAGCTTTGGGTGCTTTAGTTGGACACGAGTTAGAGTCCCTGGGGCTGCACAGGGTCTCTGCCCCATGGGGGACAGGCACAAACAGCCAAACTTGAGGGATCTAGGGGGGTGGTGGAGGCAGCGAGGGTCACCTGAGCAAATGGTTGAACAGGGTTGGAGGTGGAGACTGCCTCTCCATCCATAAAACGGGGTGTCAACAGCCCTCTCCTTCCGGTTGTATGAAGAAATCAACCCACAGACTTTTCCTTAGTTACAAATAAAGGGATAAAGTGCTGACACAGCACAGCACAGCCCGGGCCAGCCCTGGCGCAGAAACCTCGTGCCCAGCTGAGTGACTCCAAACCTGCCCAATGTTTCCCTGGTCTCTCCAGGGAATGTCTGGCCATGGATCAGTACATCAGATAGAGCAAAGTCAGCCAGCAGCTCTCTCCTTCCCTAGGAACATGGAATGATAGCGGCGTTGATCTCTCTCCAGCAACACTAAGAGCAAGCTCCCAGTTTCCTTGACAGAATAGTTTGGGAAGAGGCTGGAAATGCACTTGGGGGAGCTCTGAGGTCCACTGCAGGCCTTGAATTAATTTAAAGCATTTAGAGTTGATACCAAAAAAACTCCACCTTTTGCATTTTGCTGCAGTGAGGTGGCCTCTTTCATTTTCATTAATACTCATATAAATTCAAAATAACTAAAGAGATGCTTAATTGTTCATTATGCTCCCTCTGCATCTCTTGTCTGAAGAAGAGGCTTTATTTCTATGATTGCAGTTGCCATCCCATTATTAGATGGAGAGTGCAGGGAAAATATAAAAGTACAGATTTTAATAACCTTGTATTGCAAACTCTCTATTATTAAAAAAAATTGTTTGCATTTGCTGTGATGGAGGGAAGATTAAAAGGATGGCCATAGATTCCACTTAGGGAACACGGCTAATGATTTCGATAAATCATTTTAAATAAAAATCACAACCTCCACAATTCAAACCAAATGCCATTTGGCAGAGGGATTGATTATGGAAGCAGAATGAATTTCAGAATTAGCTGTTTGTCCTAATGTAATTGGACAAACTAGATTTAGGGATACACACATACACAATGACACACACACACTTCATGCAGGAAAGCAGCCTTCTGGCCTCTGGAAACCAGAGCAAATAAGGTTTGAGTGGGTCAAAAAATCTTGTTCATCTCAACATGATAGTTGTCCAGTATTTATTTCAACTATTTCTCTGGTGTTTTTATTTTACAGCTTCCCCTCTACAATCACAGCACTGGTGTTCTGTTTCCCAGTGTTTTTATTTTACAGTTTCCCCTCTATATAACTACAATCACAGCACTGGTGTTCTGTTTCGTAGAGGCAGAATCAGACTGACCCCTGGAACATGTCTTTGGTTTGTGTCCATGCAGACCTGGAGAAAGGTGATAACACATGGCGAGGGATGCCCCGAGCACAGCCTGGCTTCTGGTTTCTTGTCTGGGACCAAGTCCTGGGGTTTCTCTGGGAGGTGAAAGCTGAGGTTGTCCTATGGGCTGGAAAGCATAGGCTGAGATCTCACTCTGCTTCCACCTCTGCTGCTGCCTGCCCGGCCACCCGGCGAGTCAGTTCGGTGGAAAGGGAAGAGGCAGCTGGTTGTAGATACGGTAACAACCATCAGACACGAGCCCAGGTCCAGGGATGGAGGACAGTGTAGGACTTCATAGATGTGAAGGCTGTCATGGTAGAGAAGAGCTTTCTTTTCCACCCTGGCTGAGAGTTGTTAGAAGTCGGCGGGGACTATAATCAGTCAAGAGATGCAGCTCTGCCAAGAGCAAAATGCTTCACAAAGTGGCACTTTTTTTTTTCTTTTTCGCAAAGCTTTCCATTAGAAAGGAATTAGAAGAAAACAGGTGCAGAAATGTCTTAGTTTGATTCTGTCATAAAAGATGATGTGTCATTCTGAACGGATTTTGGGAGCATTTTTTAAGAGAAGGCAGAAAAGGAAAGAAAATGCTCAGAAGCATCAGAAGCATCCAAGGAGAGTTGTCCAGATTCATGTATATTGCTTTGAAGACTGGGGGGTTTCAGTACCTGTCCTGTCCTCAAGAAGCTCTTGCTATCCACAGATGACCCCCATGAGCATTTCCTGAAGGAAGCAAGTGGAAGGAGCTGTTTCCCTCATTGGGAAATGACTGTTCATACCACAGGCCAGTTGCAAAGCAAACCTTGCCTTCTGCTTATCATGACTTTATTATCATGTCCCATGTGTGCTAGAAGTCCTCAGTTCTGAGGCTCTTAGAGCTGCTGTTGGTAGCTAGGGTGAAAGATGCCTTCTGGGTCAGGTTGGGAACCCACAGGATAGAGAACAGCCCCATAACTTCCTTCCTTGTGTTCCTGAAAGACTGGTCTTAGGCAGGACCCAGAGATGTGCCCTCTAGGAAGCAACATGTGGAGTCTGTTAGTTACTTCTGCATCTTCTCCAGCATATCCTCTTTTATTCATTCTATGTCCAACCTCATTTGGATAACTAGACAGATGAATGGGGGATTATCAGTGCTGGAGTTCACTCCTTCACTGCTGGTGCATGGGTAAGAGTGAGCCTGGAGGAACCATGACTTTGGCTAGCACCTCTCCTCAGACAGCTGAAGCTCACAGCTGTGTTATGAGCCATTCCTTCCCCATCCCTACCCAGTTATCTAGAGTCTTTTTTTTTTGTCCATCAGGATTTTTGAGGGAGACATTTATCTGCCCACAGGTCATTTTTTCAGTCTTAGAGCGTTCAGTGTCTCTCTTCTGAGCAGACTGCCGACATCATACCCTTA